AGACTGATTGGGCGGTAGTTAGAGGATAGTGATCTATCCCCTTCTTGAAAACCGGTATTACATTCGCTATCCTCCAGGATTCTGGTACTACACCTGTTTTTAAGGACATGTTAAACAACTTTGCTAAGGGCATACTAAGCTCTTCCTTACATTCCTTTAATACTCTGGCAAATATCTCATGGGGACCAGGTGACTTATTAGGCTTTAGTTTGTCTATTTGCTTACTAACATCGTTACTAGTCACTACTATTTCGCTTAATTTGTTTTCTTCACTATCTCTGAATAGAGTCGGTGCCCAGGGTATCATGTTTAAATTTTCGGTGGTGAAAACTGTTGAAAAATATTTATTCAAATTATTGCTCATTTCTCTGTCGTTATCAGTGAGCTCGCCGGTATCTGACACCGTATTGGTCCAATCTTTTCTCGTGTTTTAGTTTGATAAATTTGGTAGAATCCTTTGGGGTTTGTCTTCGCCTCCCTTGCTATCCTTACCTCATTATTCCTCTTGGCTTTCCTTATCTTGGTTTTAACCCTACTCGCCAATACCCTATAATAATCCCGGAGGTAAATTTCGCCACGATTTATCCTTCTACCTATAGCCTTCCTTTGGCCAATGATGTTCTTTAAATAATTATTTATCCACTTAGGGTCATTGTTGTCTGATCTGAGTTTTTTGTATGGTATGTTCTGCCTTTGTGCATTAAGTAACTCAATATTTAAATTGTCGTGGAACTCGGCAATCTCAGATCTCGTTATCAGGTCTGTGTCATCTGTCAGGTTCACGGCCAAGCGCGACACCCCCTCTCTCAGCTGCCTCTTTAAACTGTCAAAGTTTGCCCTTCTGAAATCTGGTACTTCAGTGGAATTTTCCTTACGTCTGCTCTGAAAATCTAACTGGAATCTAATTTCTTTGTGATCGCTGTTTGCAAGTTCGTTCCCTACCTCGACATTGGTAATGAGGTTTTCTCTGACAGAACTAAATCGAGTACATTATTACCCCGGGTGGGTTCGGTTATATGTTGACTTAGAAAACAGTCCTGGATAACAATAACAGTAATAAAAATAAACAAAATTACAAAAATAAAACAAATTCAAGTGTTTTCGTCCTCACAAATTGTCTGTAAGTAGCAATACAACATATCAAATTTTCCTTTGTTTATGGAATAGGCAAAAGGCAGTAGCCTTAAACTAGCCTACTGCCTGTAACACTAATAAGTATCGAAATACAAATACAAATACAAAATACTTTTTCTTCTGGGTGCCAAAATACAATTACAAATACAAATTCATTGAAAATGTATTTAAATACAATTAAAATACAAATACAATTGTATTTGATCCACCCCTGGTCCTAATACGTCACTTTTACTGGCAGACTCTACACTAACTTATTTGGCATTTATATTAAAAATAAATACAGTTGAGGCTTTCAACATCACTCACAAGGGATGCTGAATATTTCATCTGTAAGTAGACATATCTAACTAATTGTAACACATGCACATTCAGTTGCAATTTCAAATTTCATAACATGATATGAGATACTAAGGAATAACAGAGTCTCGGTACTACTTGAGAGAAAATGGAGGACTCAGGCGTACTGAAGCGGTAAGAAAACGAAAGTTGCTGATGGGAGACACAATAAAGATGTTATAGCTGACTTAACAGAGTGGATGGGGGGTCGTCTCTTCCCACACACCGTCCCTCTTCCCCCATAACACAATGGCCCACTGCGGCCATTTTCTATGGTCGCTAATACGAGCACACAGGGGCACGTCCTTCTCCAAGCTAGGTCAGGTAACTTGTTCCATTCATCCACTACTCTATTTCCAAACCAATGTTCACCCATTTCGCGACTAAATCTAAATTTGTCAAATTTAAAACAATTACTACGAGTCCGCTCCTGGTTGGATAGTTTAAGTACTTTGTAATGTCCCCTTTGTTTAGCCCTGACTTCCATTTATACACCTCTATCATATCGCCCCTCACTTTACGTCTCTCGAGGAAGTGCAAATTAAGATGTGTCTGTTTGATACCCCCCACCACCAACACACGCACACAGATGGAGGTGAGAATTACCATATGGAGTTGATATCTGTCAAGTCAGGGAGTCCAGGTAGAATGTGAGATAGTAAGGGAGCTAGTCAGTGATCATTTTGTTGTGTATGTTCAGTTACCATTAGGGAAGAAACAGGTGAGATTTAGGAGGAAGAGGTTGAAACTAAACAAGGATGACACAAAAGTGTTTACCCAAAATATAGGGAAATGGTACAGAAATTATACGCCGGTTTGTATGGATAGCTTTTATAATGAAGATGGTAGTTACGCAGATTCTGAACCAGGATAAAGCTGAGGCATTGAACAGCATCTTTTCCTCGGTGTTCACAAGAGAGGATGCGATTAACCTACCTGCGTTTGAGGACAAACGGTTCGACACAGCACTGACCCACATTGTGTTCACAGAAGAGGGTATTAGAAATAAACTGCCAAAGCTAAAGGTCCATAAGAGTCCCGGCCCTGACACGGTGCATCCTAGAGTGCTAAGAGAGTTGTGCAACGAGCTTGCCGAGCCCCTGAAGATCCTGTTTTGTAAATGCCTGGATGAACAAAAGGTCCCCAGTGAATGGGAAGTGGCTTATGTGAGTCCTCTCTTCAAGAAGGGCGACCGTCACTCCACGAACAACTATAGACCGGTGAGCCTGACCAGCATAATATGCAAAGTACTTCAGAGTATTATCTGAGATACGGCAATGGAACATCTACTACGAAACAACCTTGTAAGGGTTTGCCAACACGGTTTTATGTCGAGAGGCTCCTGTTTAACACAATTGCTCAAGGTATTGGATATTTGGACCCATATTCTGGAACGGGGTGGTAATGCCGACAATATTTACCTAGATTTTGCCAAGGCTTTCGGCAGTGTACCCCACGAAAAGCTGAAAATCAAACTGGAAGGGTACGGAATTCGGGGAAATGTCCTAGCTTGGAGAGAAGACCTTCTACATGACCGCAAGCAGTGTGTAGTGATTAATGACACGAAATCATCATCCGTACCTGTCACAAGAGGGGTACCACAGGGCAGTGTATTGGGCCCGCTGTTGTTTGTTTCATAAATGACATGCCTGACGTTGTACACTCCTCCATACAAATGTTTGCCGATGACGCCAATTTATTTCGGAAAATCAAGAACCAAGAGGACTGTGAAGAGCTGCAGAAGGACCTCTGTGGGCTCCAAGGATGGTCGAAGAAATGGCTGCTGAGATTCAATGTCACGAAGTGTAAGAGGGTGCACCTGGGGCGTAGCAACGGTAAGGAGGCGTATCATAAGTCCCAACGGGATGAAGAAACTGCACTATTTGAGATTGGCGTGTATATTGACAATGAGCTGAAGTTCTTAGGCCATTGCGAGAAGAAGGTCGTTCAGATATCTAGACGGTCCGTCGTTCGTAACGATCTTCAAGAGTGAAGTGCTTCCCCATCTGGAGTACTGTCACTCCGTCTGGTCTCCGAGATATCCTAGGGACTGTCAGTTGGTTGAAAATGTTCAAAGGAGGGCCACCAGACTGGTGCCTGCACTTCGGCACCTCAGCTACCCTGAGATATTGGAGCGCCTGAACTTGCCTAGCTTATACTACAGACGGGCTAGGGGAGACCTAATTGAGGTGTATAAGCATCTCAAGGGGCACTACTCAGTCAAGTGTCCTTACTTGGAGCTGGTGGACGCTCGCCCCACAAGGGGTCACAGCTCAAGATTGAAGAAGCCGCAAGTCCAGAAAACTGTGAGGGCAGACTTTTTCGGAGTGAGAGTTGTGAACTCTTGGAACAATCTACCAGAAAGTGTTGTGACTGCACCGAGTGTGAGCTCTTTAGGACCAGACTTTACCAGCACTGGAGCAGGTTCAGGTACATTCAGGAGCTGGTGCATGCCCAGTACTTGCCAACAATGCGTAACAGAGACGTGACCGATCGCCCAAGCGGCTAACGAGTCGATCATTTGGTGAAGAGGATAAAAGAAAAGGAAAAGTAACAGAGACATGACCGATCGCCCAAGCGGTTAACGAGCTGATCAGTGGTGAAGTAAAAAGTTGGGGAAATAGAAAGATATTTAACTAAGTCAACACAGACAAAGATAAATGATAAGAGACATGGGACTAAGAAACACTGCTATACTAATGACAAAATGTTGAAGGGGTGGAAACAGATGTTAAGGGCAGCACATAAAGAGTGGATAAAGAATGGTAGAAGAGAAGACGATAGGGAAATCTTCATGGATATAGCCAAAATATGTGGGCAGGTTAGGAAGGAGGCAAGGGAGAAATATTGGCAAGACTTTGCACAGCACATTGGGGAGAGTAAAAATCTCACAGAAATATGGCAGGATATTAACAAAATTAAAGGAAAAAGGAGTAATTTTATAGTCATTCTCATCCAGAGGAAGAAGCTAATAAATTGGTAGACAAATGGGCTAAAGCTGCTAGTGTTGCCTCCCTGCCTAACAGGACAATAGAAGCATTAGAAGAGTGGCAAAATGAAAGAAGAAGATTTATTTCATTAGCTCTAAATATTTGTGATGTAACATGTATAGATATTACTCAAGATGAGTTGTTAAATGCTGTTAAAAAAAGAAAATATGCAGCACCAGGCGAAGATGGTGTGACTTATGAAATTTTGAACTGCCTAGTTGGTATTGAAGAAAGTTATAGTCATTCCTGTCCCTAAGGAAAATGGTGGATACAGGCCAGTGTCTTTA